CACTTGCCCTGATGATTTTTCCACTATACCGGACGTTTTCTTGTTGATTCTTTAAATAAACAACATAATTAACATTGGAAAGTCAACTGGACACCGGTGCAGTGTGATATACAAATTTGCTTTGCCCGACAGAAAAAAACGCTGGACTCGGGCGTCGGGCAATGGGTTATTTCCACCCCTGCTTATTATGGTGACTACAGTACACAGTCTCACGCATGACTCTGTCTGTGAAGATTAAGGTCATTGTAGCACTGAATGCTCTTTCCTTCATGCATGTGGATGAGATTTGATATAATAGGATCATTATCAATTTGCCATTGTGTATCAATCTTGAGATCCAAAGGGCCATACTAATCACCATCCAACAGGCCCCTCAGTTGAGAATTCTTTTGTCCGTTTTGTGTGTAAGGGATGTGATATTTCATATTAATTTTTAGTCTACTGTTGAAGGAAACATTTACTTTCTCAGATATAACTGCAGTGCATCATTTCAATAATATTCAGGGACGGTCGGGTAGCCTAGTGGTTAAAGTGTTTGCTTTTTATGCTGAACACCAGGGTTCGATTCCCCACATGGGTACAATGTGTGAAGCCCATTTCTGGAGTCCCTTGTTGTGATATTGGATTGTCTGGTCCAGAGATTTGGAATATAGCTGGAATATTGCTGAGTGCGTTGTAAAACTAAACTCACTCACTCACTCATATGCTGTGATCATGTTCGTAGTGAGATTTTATTCACAGTGTGATGCTAAGCATCTGATTAGTCCTGTTTCCCCCCGGAGTCCTTACAATAATGCTGCTGTTGTCTCATGTTAACAGTCAATATGTCCCCAGTTGGACTTGCTACAGTTGTCAACTATATGGCGACGTTTAAGCTGGCCTGTGTAGGCACATGCTTGACAGTGTTGATAATGCAAACAGCCTCTCAAACACACAGTTTGCTGGCGAACCGTATGGGGCTGGTCACAGGATTTATTGTGTGGTGGGCTTGTGGACTCAAACACTGACCAAACATGTCTGTTGAAATTATTGGATTGAAGGTGATCAGATATAATCAGATAAAGTGTTCCCAGACTTAGCGTGTTGCTGTAAGGTATGTAGACATCAATGTAGGAATAAAACCAATCACAATTTGTTTACCTGGAGTGGTGATAAAGTTTGAACAGCATCTAGAAATGATACACATAAAAGGTGAGAATTTATGGATGTCAAATTCTTTATGAGGACAAAACGTTTCGGATGAAGGAGTAGGACTATGCTCCGAAACGTCATGTTCCTCATAATAAAGAAGTTGACATCGATAACTTCTCTCTCCTTTGGAGCGGTGTTGTGGTTAAGCAGCGTTCGAAATACCTGCCTGCCCAAATGCCGGAGATGGGTTGTTTTCAACAGGGACTGCCAAGTTCTCAAATTTACCTGTCCAACAGTTGGGTTAAAATTTAGACATGTATATATATATGAAGATATTTTGTGGGCAGGTAACTTTTTGTCAGGGCTGGCAAGTTTTACATCTAGCCAGCCCTGTGGTCTGGCCGAAATTTTTGGGAGTTTTGCATATTTAATTTCATACATTTATGAGTACATTGGAGTTGATTTTGTTTTTTAGTGTCAGAGAATTTATTTCATGTGAAGGTAAATGTACACTATACGCAGGGGATTATGATGGTTATTGTTGCATGTGTTTGATTTTACGGATCTCAGGGTTAGTGATATACATGCAGGTCTTGTGACTGTGGTAAAGACAAGTTTGGATGTCAGATGGTGTTCATGTTACACAGGAGTGATGGGATTTCACATGTGGTTGAGAAGTGGCTTGTGGACATTACAGTGTAGCATGTTCGGACACACATTCTAGATGTGTAATTAGGAGCCCCTGTGGGATCCTGGGTAGAAAGTGTCTTCACCACCCATTTGCATGGAAAACGTGTGTACATTCATGGTTAGAACTGTTGTAATTTGATATTGGCTTGTGTGGTCGGTCTGACGTGGTTGATGACGTAGTTGTTGATGTAGTTGGTGATATAGTTGGTGACATATTTCATAACATGATTGATACCGTGGTTGACGGTGTGTAAATGTAACCCAACATTGTGGATCGTTGCTAATACGGCAACTACTTTATTGTTTCTTCAAGACTCCCTTCGAATTGACTGCCATCATGAATATGCAGAATATTGCAGAATGCGTCTTTAAACTCTGACAAAAACTTTTATCCGAGTGCATTGTGTTTTTAGAGGCCATGTGAATGTTACTGAAACATTTTCTGTATCCATTTGTGATATTTGGGAGCACATAAGAGGCATGTCCAAAATACATTTCAACTGAAGGAATATTTATGATGTTTAGAAAAAAAGTGTGCCTGTTGGCATAAATGTTTCATCTTGGGACAACAAGAAAACAACAAATATTTATCTTGTGTCTGCTGTAGAAAGGGGATATCGATGGGAATTATTACTTTCTATCAATTGACATAAAGAATAGTCAAATAATATTTCGGTCTGATGGTTTCCTAGGGCGTTTGTTTTTAGGTGCAAATACCAATATGTCCAGTTGTGTTGCCTTGGGGGTGGTCATGGTACACCTACCTCACACAGCTGTGAATTCAGTGAGTTTTAGAGTGCACTGTCTTACTCTTGAATTTTGCGACCCGTGAAGATCCGGGTTAGAATTGGTCTTCAGCAACCCATGCTTGTCGTAAAAGGCGACTAATGGGATCGGGTGGTCAGGCTCACTGACTTGGTTGACACATATCATCGTTTCCCAATTGCGTAGATCGATGCTCATGCTGTTGATCACTGGGTTGTCTGGTCCAGACTCGATTATTTACAGACCGCCGCCATATAGCTGGAATATTGCTGAGTGCGGCCTTAAACAACAAACCGACCTGTATTTTGCCCATGTTCCATGTGGCTGGGCTAGGAAGAAGCTAGCCTTAGGCTGCTACAGGTTGTGTCACAGTAACATGACTGGTTTGTGTAGACTATTATAGTAGTTGTTGTTATGCAATCAGCTTTGTCAGTTTATTTTGCAATAGGTGGTAAGGTAACGCTCACCTGAGGGCCCATTCCACAGACAGTTGTAATGCTGAAGTGATCGAAACTCCTGTACTTGAGCATAGCTTAAAAACAATCATAGCTCTTTGAGTGCTTTGTGGAATGCGGCCAAGCTGGATTACTGCATAACTTAGTAAATGATACTTTTTGAAAAACAGGTACTTCAGCATGAAGTAGTATCCAGATAACAAATGATGTATTGACAGTTTGTATCCAGAAAAGTTTTCATCTTGACATAGTAACTCGTGACGTAAACTCTGAACGTTTACTTGTGTCGGCAGAAGGAGTAGAGGAGGTGAGGTGAGGTGAAATTGGGTTTTTTGAGAATATTTCGCCATATTGACACGCGTGTGTGTGTATGCGGCTGCTTGTACTAGCCCAGACTGAAGCTGGTTTTATAGTGCTAGCTCACTGAGATACTATGCCGCAGTGAAGCATGAATACCCCACTCACACATTATACTGACTCCGAGCTGACCAGTCCTTGTTGTACCCATAAATGCCAAGCGCCAGGCAGGGACCAACAAGTACCATATTTTAACGTCTTTTGGTATGACGTGGTTGGGGATCGAACCCGCGACCTTCCGCTCTCCAGGCGGACGCTCTATCCACTACACCATGGAGGCGGTCAGGAGTAGAGGAGGAATAGGAAAAGCTAAATGGGGATTGGGTGGCTCTGTTAAAGTGTGTGGATAGTGCTTGTAACCGTTACCACAGGGTTAAATTGAGGTGGGTTTGTCAAGTAAATAGCATCAGCCCCTACATACACTGTTTGTCGTTGTCAGGTCTATAGTGCGTTTGGCTCAAAAGCGGACCGATGAATTGCAATCTAACTCAAAACTAATAAACATATAATACTCAATGAAACGCTGATCATAATCAAAATATCAGACCAACTCTGTGATTTGTTTGCAGAATTTATGTCCTAAAAATAAAAAAGTTGTTTAACAAACAATCATTAACATATTGACGCAGTTCACTATTTGTTACGAGGGAGGAGTGCAGAGAAAAGGAGGCAGGTGTTAGAGAAGCACGCGCCCAAGTGCCGACAAAGTTATTGATTCATTAACCTGTGCTGTGCCATCTCCATCCTTTCTCGCACACCCGGCTGTCCCTTTCTCTGCACTCCTCCCTCGTGAACAACAAATAGTGAACTGTGTCGATATTTTAATGATAGTTTGTTAAACAATTTTTTTATTTTTAGGACATAAATTCTGCAAAACACCTCTCAGAGTTGGTGTGACGCTTTCATTATCATTAATTGATGCTCAGAGTCCTAATGGTAGAGCTGGGACGATACACTATGTCACGATACGATACGTATTGCGATATTTTACCTGCGATACGATACATACGGATCATGATACATACACCTTGAAAGAATGGCACAGTATTAAGATTTAAAATGATTTATTTCAAGGTATTTGTGTATAACAATATCACTATTGTAATAAACAAGCAAGTAACTCTATGACACTTGCCTATTTTTCTCTAAATATGTACTCTAACATGTTTAAGATAAAACTGTTTTGAAAAAAAGTTGTGTATCGTTTTGTATCGATACACCAGTCAATACGATAGCTGTATCAAACTTAAATGTATCGTGATGTATCGATGCATCGGTGAATCGTCCCAGCCCTACCTAATAGAGGAAATATGGTATTTACTATTCATTAATAGTATGAGTATTTAGATACACCAATAAACATGGCTTTGTGGGTAGTGATGGACATTCAGGGCGGTGGGGTAGCCTAGTGGTTAAAGCGTTCGCTCGTCACGCCGAAGACCCGGGTTCGAATCCCCACATGGGTACATTGTGTGAAGCCCATTTCTGGTGTCCCCTGCCGTGATGTTGCTGGAATATTGCTAAAAGCGGCGTAAAACCAAACTCAGTTAGTTAGTTAGTTAGTTAGTGATGGACATTCATGGTATATGTTTGTCTTTTCAGCATTAGTATGAAATCAGTGGAGAGTGTGACAGCCCCCATGAACGATGGCATGACAGAGAGTGGACTTGTCACCTCACAGAACGACTTTGAGGAAATCATCGACCTGTCAGTAACCAACAAGAACATCCAGCTGAACTGCGGGCAGGAGTCTAGGGGAGACAACTCTGAAGACCTTCTGAACTTCAACAACCTGGATGGTGCCAGTGAGGACAACACCAACAGAACACCTTTAATTGCTTTTGAAGAAAACTCAGCAGCAAGACAAGATGTCACAGGTAGATAGAGGAGATAGTGAGGTCCATCCAGCAGTGAGATACTGCAAAGAAGGATGGGTGGTTGTATGATGTAGGATAATGTTTGTTGTTCAACAGCCCAATATCACAGCAGTCTCTAAATATGTTCTGGACCAGACAATTCAGTGGTTGCATTGATCTATGCATTTGGTATACAATGACATGCTCCAGCCAAGTCAGCAAGGGAGAAATGCATAATTGACTGAAAATCAATTCTGGTCTGAAATTTCAAGAGATGATGGCAAATACTAATTCTTATGTTTGTTATTGTACTGAAAATTTTGATAAGAGCAATGTTAGTGGTAGTTGTCTCCTAAATTTTGGGCACAGACTGTGTCTGACTAGTTAAACAAGTGTGGACCAGATAATCCACTGATGGATGTCATGATCATGAGGGCGGTTGGGTAGCCGAGTGGTTAAAGCGTTGGTTCGCTGGCTCGCCGAAGACCAGGGTTCGAATCCCCACATGGGTACAATGTGTGAAGCCCATTTCTGGTGTCCCCCGCTGTGATGTTGCTGGAATATTGCTAAAAGCAGCGTAAAACCAAAACTTAGTCAGTCATGATCATGAATGATCTTTGCCTTCTTGGTACAATGATATGTTATAAAGTAAGTCGCCATGCCTTATGACCCTGTCAATGTGTCTCTCATAAGGTTTTGGCCCCCTTTCACAAAGCACTAAGGTGATCATAAGTCACTAAGGTAACCATAGTGCAATGTTCAAGAATGGGAGTTAAGGTTAACCTTAGTAAAGGTTGCTTTGAGAAAGGAGGCCCTGGGAATCCTTCCCAGCCTGTACTCATCCTGGTATGATAATTACTACATATCTTTGTGGGCAATTCCTTAGGCCTTAAAGTGATATTTATTTTATTTTGTTTGCCATAATCAAGATTAACTGTCAAAGGATGTGTATTCTGTGTTACAAATGAGAGATTTATGGTCTGTAGATTATTTTGTATCTGGAGGCTGTAGACTCGGTAGCAAACCTTAGGATCTCAGAATTTCAGACACTGATTTCCTCTTCCATTTTCCAGATCTCCTCTCATGATCCCATGGAGGGTGAAGGAGTTTCATCTCAGAAGGAGGCTGCCCAACAGACTCCCAGCCAATCACATTTAGCGACTGAGCCCGGGTCTACGCCTCCTGCTACACAGTTGTCCGCTGCCAGCACCAATCTGACCTTCATAGGCTCCGACTCTGTGCTGTCGCCGCCAGCGGGGGACAGTCACGTGCTTACTATTAACATGGCTGACGATTGCCACTTGGACAAGTTATGGCAGCAAACAGAACAGCTTCTCATGCAGAAACAGGGTAATGTGCGGCAAATACTAGAGGATTATGGGATAGGCGAGGGAGAGGATGGGGAGAGTGACGAAGCCTTACTTTGGCAAACCGTTGAAAACGAAACCAGTTGTAAAAACGATCTGGTATAGATAAGGCATACAGTGTAGCGACAAGTTAACTTATTGAATAGATACAGAGGCGTGGACTTCAACATTGCTGTATTGTATGGATGTATAGGGTATATCACACTCCTGTGGATGTATTGGGTATATCACACTCCTGTGGGATGTATTGGGTATATCACACTCCTGTGGGATGTATTGGCTATATCACACTCCTGTGGGATGTATTGGGTATATCACACTCCTACACTCTTCCAAACCAAAGTTCTGTTGGTGCTTTCACACCTCACTCAACCAAGCCATTTGTCATAATTAAAGGCTAAAAACTGACTCATTCCAAAGTTTGGTTTCGGTTTTACAGGCACAAATAAAGCATTATGATCACCAGGACGACTGGTGACTTGGTGCTATATTGTTAAGTACTTTTTTCTACTATATTCCTGAGAACATACATTTATGAATTTGTTTATTACTGTGATATTTTTATTGACCAAATTAAGGGTAAATTCCATCAAAGTATTAAAGAACTGGTTGCTACATTGTATGGATCCAAAACAGATTTATTATTTGTAAATAATTTGTGATGTACAAATGTAGATACAAATCCCCAATTGATGTAGTCAGTTTGTGTGTAAACTATTACGGATGATTATATGACAGTCTGTGTATGTGTGACCGAAAATGTAAATAAAATCTCACCATGACAGAATTTCCCCCAGATTATAGTAGGACTACAAGTGAAAACATTGTCTTTCATATACAAATTTGTTATCAAATTTAAATTCGAGGTTATAGAGATCTATGTATAAGTTTTACCTGTGAGGTACATGGTACTTAATTCTGTTAAAATTCGGAAATACTTAACATGGGTATGTTAGAAATATACTTATTTGGGAGGATGATTAACCTTGAATGTTCTTACTGATTCTGTGTTGATTGCTCAACAAGGATGTATAGTGGGTTCTGTTATCTCAGCCTTATAAGCCTTGACCTCCACGTCTGTGCAATATTGCATGTTAATCATTGATCTGTGGATGAACACACCAGTATGCCGCGGGTCCTGTACATTCTGTATATACAGTAGGCCTAGGTTAGACTAGAATGCTAACGAAAGTTTAAAAAAGAACAAAAAGTGTAGTACGCTTGTAGAGAAAACGTATGTTCAAGTTTGCTGCCATAACTTTTCCCCAATGTGGAGAAAAACACGACAACTTGTGTCATTGTCTTCAAACATGTTTCATGGAAGTGCTTGTGTAACCATGTCAATGGACGCAGAGAAGAGGAATCACATTCTGATGGGAAAAAGACGTGATCGAATGTTGTGACAGTATGTGGCTCGGATGTGCATCCCGCTTGCCGCACTGTGATAAAACTGTCCAAAACAATTTCATAATGTGTGGATTTCCATGTTGTGTGTAGATCCGACATTGCCCGTGGTGCGGTTGTTATACTTCACTCTCTCCCAATCAGTCGTGTTGTGCTCTAGTCGGGTTCTTTGTTCTCCAAATATTGTATTTATGTTTACCAGACCTGGAGATACTGATCCGGGCAAAAGGGGCGTTACAGCATATCACAGGACAGTTTGTGCGCACTGTTCTTGTACTGTAGCAATTCTTGCTAACTGCCATCCTGATTAAATAGTTGTTTTCTTATCCAATTTGTGTGTTTAATCTTTATCAAGTTGATGAAGGACTTCCTTCGTTTTGCTGCCACATGCTTTCACACATGCTACAGGGTATTTGGTTTAATGCTTGTTTGGGGCTGAAGTTCAATGAAATGTGGCCCCAAATGTGGATTCTACCCAGTACCAGGTACTGTGGATTATTTTTTCCATTATAGACATTCCTGTTAGTGAAGTAATTTTGCGATTTTATTCAGTAAATAGTTTTGTAGAAAATAAAAATTGCTTTTGCGAAATTTGGATTATTAGAAATTGTATTGACCATTTGGAAACATGATCTCATAAGGTAGTGTAGCTGCAAGAACATGCTTTAAAATGTATCTTTTATAACATTATTTAAGACATTTTTAAATCAAAATATTGACTTCTCGGCTTTGTGATCTTGTCAGAGGAATTAGACTCAGGGAGGCAATAGAGTTTCTGATTAGCTGCTGTAAAGTCACTTTTGTTTTGGGTCAGACCGGTACCTGGGTGATTCTAGTGTTTTGATCCCAAACTTCTTTATGTTTTGTAAGCAGTGGTCATTTTTTCAGTTAGAAGTGACATGTAAATTGGTTATCGAAATGTGCATGCATTTATGTAAATAACACTTTTAATGTTATTTTAAGGAGAAGAGTCATTAATTATTTGCTATTTGTACAGAATGACATGCAGGTTAGAATTGCAAAGTAAAATCTCTGTGGTTATATTACAGCCTGCAAGTATTGACATGTTTACCTGTGTTGCTATGGTTACACTGGATGTTGTAAATGTGCTTATTTCACCGTGGTCCATTGTTGAAATTGATTCCGATAGGTGAGTCTTTTTCAATGAATAATATTGTTATACTATATGTATACGACAGTCGGTGCCCATTGCTTGTTAAAACTGTGGATTGAGAGCGAAACTGCTTGATTTCAGGTAAGTGCAAATATTGATATTGACAATTCGATTGGTTGTCAAATGTGATTGGTAAACTGATAATCTAACGGTTCACGAACAAATTGTGTTTAAATGCATGTAATGAATATGTATTGTAGATTAAATGTCAGTGGTGTATTGGCCTCTAGCTTGCATATCAGTTCCTGAGACCATATTTAGATATCAAGCATAATTTATATATTAACTGTATCAAAATATCAAGTACCTTTCAGTCAACATTTAACATATTTCTCTTTCGGTTTAACTACATGAGAGTGAAGTAATTCGCTAAACTGGTGGAACCTTGAGAGGTTATATATAACCAATCATACAGGAGAATACTCAGAAACTAACAAGTGTGTATTTGTGATCTTTACAACATATCTGTAAGGACAACAATATCATAGGATAGATTAATATATTTCTGAAAAGTGTGTATTTACTTTTGTAGATGAGTTTTATCACCAGGGAATTAGTTTCATAAGATATTCTTTCAGACACTATGATGTTTATTTATATTTTATTTCATTTTGAATGACTTGAATTTAAATTATGTTTGTTAAATTTTCTGTTAAGGAGATTAATTTGAATAGTGCTTGCCTCTTAGTGAAACATCTTGACTTTTGAGGTTAGGGATGAATGAGTGTAAACTTGCTGTTTCTACTTTTGTACATCTATGACCCTCTCTCAGTTGTTCCAGTGCGTGAGTTGGTAAATGGGTTTTCTAAGAAACTGCAGGCTATTTACTTTTCGCTGTCATTCATTTCGCTCATGTAAATAGCCGAGGGAGTCAGTTCTGTAAGCATGTCAACCATATTCACTTTTCCTCCAACAGTTGGCTTGTGAGAGTATATAATATCCAAATCACTCCAAAACCTTTGAAGGATATGTTCATAACAGATTATTGTTGAAATACAATCCCACCATTTTTGTTTGTTAAATACATGAAACAATAATATCAGTTGATGTGCATTCTTTTGAAAACAACACACACACACACACACACACACACACACACACACACACACACGTGTGTATACATTCATACATATATATATCTATACCAAGCCTCCTGTTTGTTGGTATAAGAATGTACTAAATGGTTCAAGCTTGAATGAGGTCAAATTTTGTAGGTTGTTGGTTAACTTGATAATCTGAGTGTAATGCTTGTTCTGCATTTTCTGGCAATGTGAGTTCCGGATGTGATCACATCTATATTTCCTCTGAGTGAGTGTGTGTCAGTACTTGGTATCCTCAACGTGCTCCAATATTGTGTTGTCTTAAATGAGAATTGTTTAGGTTACCTTGGAAAGCACTTTATTTATTTCTCAATCAGGAGCCAGCATCTTGAACTGTACTAAAACATGCTTGCCGGTCTGAAGATTTTACTGCAATAAACCTGTCGTAAATTATGAAATCATGTTTTGTTGTTTTTGAAGTTTGCATATTTCCTTTAAACAATAAAAATAAAGCAGGTCTGTGTTTGTGATATATTTTTAAACTTATCCTATCTCACGACTTGCACCTCTCTCTCTTGCTTCGACTTTTAGTGGAATGACTGTAAACTTTTTTCCATAGGCCTCCTTGTCCATTCGCCCGTGCACTCCTTGCTGCTTTCCTTAATTAACTTCCTAGTTCCTAATAAAGCTTGCAGCATGCTCCACTAATTGCCCACGTGACTACCTTGAATGATCATTCTCTTTTTTGTCGCACGACTGTGTGGACGTGCTGTATGTTAGGGACATTATTTCACCAATCAGTCAAGGAAAAGGAAAGTTTGTGCTCAATGCAAGACGAATTATTCGTCCCTCAACACTCACTTTTCTTTCAGTGACTGTATTGGACAATGTTACTGGAACAAACGATGTAGGAAGTGTAATTCACTAAAAGATGAGGATTTTAAGACGTATCAAGTTACAGCAACAGAAAATCGTACCTTCACGCAAGAGAGCGACGTCTGTGGTTCAAGAGGATTTTATGGACGCTTCATCAGATTCTTACTTATCTGAGGACGTTCGCCACCTATTATGTACGCATCAATCACCTCCTTTCATAGCGTCAGATCACTCGCGGCCAGTTGTGATCAATAATTCTTCGTTGCCTGTCCCATCTACACTACCAGGGGACCTTAGATCGACACTATCATCATCCAGATCATCGGTACATATCCCCTCCACTGTCTCAGTTTGTTTGGAGCCTGGCCAACCGCGTTCAACCAGCCAACTGTCTCCCCACAGTTCATTGAACCGGACGGAGCTGGCTACAACAGCGTCACCGGGGGGACGTTCATCATGAATCAACAATTCAGGTTTCGTCACCTAATCGCCGATCCAGATCGCCACATCATTCTAGATCACCTCAACGATCTAGATCACCTTCACGATCCAGATCACCATCACAAGCCCAATCTAGATCACCTGGCCGATCAAGATCACCGGATCGATCCAGATCACAGTCACCAAACGATCCAGAGCACAACTACGATCAACATCACCTGATCAATCCAGATCACCAAACGGGTCCAGATCACAACTTCGAATCAGATCACCGGACAGATCCAGATCACCTAGCCGATCCAGATCACTGAACCGATCCAGATCACAACATCGAAGTAGATCATCGGCCTGATCCCGATCACCTAATCGATCCAGATCACCGAATGGATCCAGATCACAACTTCGAATCAGATCACAGGACCGATCCAGATCACTGAATGGATCCAGATCACAACCTTGAATCAGATCACCGGACCGATCTAGGTCACCTAACCGATCCAGATCACAACATCGAAGTAGATCGCCAGACCGATCCAGATCACCTTACCGATCCAGATCACCAAATGAAGCCTGATCGCAACAGCAAACCAGATCACCTGTTCAATCCATATCACCTTATAGATCCATATCACGATCACAGTTTCCAGTTAGTGCATCAAATCGATCCAGATCACTTTACAAATCCAGTTCATCTTACCAACCCAGGTTACCTATACGATCTAGATCACTTTACCTAGATCATTGACCAATCGGGATCACAGTACAGATCCACATCTCATGGCCGATCCTATTCAGATGGTCGAACCAGAGCTCCAATCAGAACCAGATCACCAACTAGAACTATAGCGACCCGTACTAGTTCTTCATATCATACCAGATCACCTAGCCATACTAGGGAATCCAGATCACCGGCTTACCAACCTACTTTGGTACTTACCACGTCGAGATCTCGATACAGTTCCTCTGACCGACGTTCGGGTGATCATTGCTCTGATACCACTAATAGGCCTACAGTCTCTTATGATGTTCCGTCTACACGCTCTGAGAATCCTTCGACTCACTCTAGGATCATCACTGAGTCATGGGAACCTGATAACAATGCCACTCCTACAGCGACTCCAGATCTAAATATGATGATCAGGGCCATAACCTCAGCCTGGAACCAAATACAGCCTTCTACTCCAGCCCATCCGGCTTCGGTATCTTCTGGCTCTTTATCTGGTCCACCTCCTGAGATTGATCCAGTCCAAATAGCCATGCCTGCATCTCCCGCTCACTCTGAGTTATCTACCCCTGGGGGTAGCTTTGCAGCATTTGAGACACCTCAGGTACTCCTTTGGATTGTTGAGAAGCTCCAACTTTTCTTGAGTACTTCAGCAGATGACCTGGATCAATCTTATACTCTTAGGAACCGGGATTGGTCTACCATCCTCGTACCATCTCGACCTTGTATTCTGAAATTATCCAGTACACTAAATGATGGTTTCAAGAGACTGAAACGAATTAAGGACGGATTCTCTGTTCCCAGTTATAATCCTTCTACCTCTCATGTCAACGGCCTAACACAAATCTCTACGGCTCCAACAGTTGATGAGGATATTGGAACCCTGTGTGGCAAACGAGCTGCTTCGCCCTACCTTATTGAGGACCGAAAGTTAGCTCACATGGATTCAGTCGTGAGAAAGACGTTGCCATCTATTAGTTGCGTTATTGCAGCAGTCGACGCTGTTAACACTGCTCTGGAGCATACTTACTCTGATCAAGACGCTTACATCCGAGGATGCATGACTTTAGCTGACA